ACAAGAACATCAATCAGTAAAACAATTATTGTTATCTTCAACAATGTGAGATAGAATGAAAATGTGAAAAGTCCATTTAGGATGATTTATTTTCTATCCATCTTATATGTCCTCTTTTACGGAGGCCGCCATGTTGAACTGCCATGTTTCTACAGTAACCCAGAACGGACAAACCAAACACTGGCTCTAGCTTTTCTTTTTTTTTTATGAATATGCAATCTCACCACTAGATGTCACTAAATCTTACACACTGGTCCTTTAGGCAGTAGTTCAACATTTTGGTAAATTTGCTTATTTCCTAACACCTTTCAAGCTTAATATTATAAAGTATTATTTTAACGGGAATTGAAAAATTCTCAGTGCCACTGCTTTTACTGGAGTATGTCTGCATTTGGTATTTCTACTGTATAGTTCAGTAGTTATGATCTTTTTGTAGACCTAGGGTTCTCTTTTTCCCACCTGACTCTCCATGCACTGAACAATGTCTTGTTGGACCTTCCACTGAGCAATGCTCCTGTCACCATGACTGTGTTCAGAATGGAGATGCCTAGAAGACAAAATAGGACAAAGTTTTTAGGAAATACACGTGCTTGCCCCAAATCAACACAAAATTAGATGAGAAGCTCTCACTGTTTTGTGTGCAGCACAGAGACAGGACCAGTGCTATGTTGTTTTGTTCACTAAAAGATCCATGTGTCTCTTCACCTTAACCAGAACTCAACCTTAGCCCTTCCCCTAACTAGTCATCTCCGCAATACCTGACCAGAGATACCTACATGACAGCTGAAAGCATACCTTTTCCAGGAAAGTGAGTGGCTTTTGAGATCTTCTGGTTTCCAAAGTTGGAAATTTGATTCTGATTCTACTTTTACATGATCCGATTCATAAATGTCACAAAAGCAAATTCCTCATCATCAGTAGCTTTAGGTGCATCTTAATTTCCAGAGATACAGTGTCTCCCTCTGGCTGCTTTGCTGAATTGCTGCGGCTCACACACCTGTAGTGTCCACACAGAGAGAGTTTCTGCTGCTGTCAGCCCTGTCTTTCTGCGCTGAGTTTTCCTTTGATAAATACAGTATAATAAAAGCCTTTTTAACAGATAAGTGGATTCTGTCCACAGAAATGCTAGAGCACTTTTCATCTGAAACACATTGAGCACTGCATTCAGTACTGTCAATCTTCGCATGGCTAATATAAGCATAAGCATATATCCTGAAATTGTTCCTTTAAAAAGGGAAATAATACCCTTATTATTACATAACAGATATGAACTTAAGAATGGTTTATCAGTAATCCGTACCTCCTGAAGTCTGAAAATAACCATTCCCAAAAATTCCACAACTGTCAATGAATGTAGTACTCAGCAGTCTACTTACCTTAGGAAACTAGCGAAATCTTCAAACATTGCATCACAGCCAGGCCAGCGGCAGAGGCCACTCACAAACAAAGCACTGGTCCCCTCAGGGATGCTGCAGGGAACAGAGATGTCTCAGTGATATCATGATATCATATAACTGAAAGTACTTTCAGATTTAAAGTGTGGTATGACCTTTGACTTAAAGCTACTTGTTTCTATCATCTATTGAGGAAGTTGACTGTTAGCAATTGTAATTTGGAAAGGTAAGATATACAAGCTTTGTATAGGCTGTATTGGTGGTTTTTCAGGCAAATTCACAAACAAATGTCATGTCTGAGGCCATGGCACTGTGCTGGAAAATAGTGTGTTGTACACCCAGTCTCAGAGTAACTACAGTTGAAGCATCTCCTCGGTCTGTACTTGTACTCAGCTGCTATGGTGAAGGTGCTCTTAATTTATCTCTCAATCTGTGTTGAACCGACTCACCTGTTGACATAAGCATTGGGTTGTAACCAAGCAGCAACCTCTGTGGCTGCAAATGAAGCCAACACAGAATTAAAAAAACCTGCAGTTCCCCTAATAGCCACTTGAGGCTTGCTCCAGAAGTGAGTCAGTCTTCATAAGGTCCCATTTTAAGGCCCAACGTTACAGCAGAAATAAATATGTTTACAGCCTGGTACAAAAAACGCTGTTGGTCTCTGAAGCTAATTTCTCCGTTCATGACAACTGTACAGAGGTGAATTTTTATATAACTCACCTGTTTAAATTATATTAAGGCTTGAAGTTATGAATAATTTAGGGTGTCTCTACGTTGAGTGACAGGTGGGTGCCCTAGACAGATGCTACAGGCAGCTTTGCCCATTTTTGGATTAGCTGGGAGCTGGCAGAGTCAGGACTGCCAGAGCTGACCACACAACAGTTCACAAACCTATGGGTGACGTCACAGACTATAATTACAGTCTATGGTTGTAGGGCGGCTGTGGCTCAGAGGCAGAGCTGGTCGTCCCCCAATCGGAAGGTTGTTGGTTCGATTCCCCGGCTCTCCGCCACATGTCGAAGTATCCTTTGAGCAAGACACTGAACCCCAAATTTGCTCCCGATGCATAGCATCGGTGTGTGAATGTGTATGAATGAGTTAGTTTCTGTTCGATGGACTTTGCATCGCTGTGTGAATGTGTGTGAAAGCGGTGAATGTGGCACGTAGTGAAAAGGCGCTTGACGTTGGTCGGAAGACTAGAAAGCACAGGTCGGTTTTACCAACTGATTATTGATTTGATTGATTGATTGGATTTTCTTGTTGCAATCTCTACGTGTTGTTTTTTTTTTATTTTTATTTATTGTTGTTGTCTTGACCATAAACACAAAGAAAGAAGAAGAAAGAGAAGAAGAAGAAGAAAGAATGATATACCTTTATTGAATCCCCTAGGGGAATTGTTCTTAAACATGTCCTGCTGAAGAATGAGAAGATATTATTCATGCCAAGATTTAACCTAAACCTTAGGGACAGGCGTAAGGGATGCATATCCAGGAGGGGCTTGAAGTAAAACCACTAGTCTGGGCATCAAACTTGCAAGTCTTCTTTCAGATAAAGCTCCCTGTGGGCACCTCCAGGCACCTTATAATATGTCTGTGTAGTCTAGGAAACACCTAATAAAGGTGGAGTTGTGAAGAAATATACATTATAGAACCACAATGTCACTTCACTATCTGGTCTGGGTTTGCACTGGCCAGCAAACTGAGGCAAGGTAGCCCATTATGTCCCATCTCCCTAGCCACACCAATCATTCTCTTGCTGGGGGATCTTGATATGTTCCCAGGCCGAGTTGGGTATGCATAATTCTCCAGCAGTTATAGATCTGCTGTGGGACCTCCTACAATGTTGGACGTGCCTTGAAAAGCACACAGTGAGGCATCCAGGTTTCTCCTGTGTAAAAGGCAGTTTTTCCTTGCCTTGTCGCCAGGTGCGTTGCTCCATGGTTTGGTACTGTTGGGTCTCTGTAAATAATGTTATAAAGAGTTCGGTCTAAGACCTGCTCTATGAAAAGTGTCCTGAGATAACTTCTGTTATGAATTGGGCATACAAATAAAATGTGAATTGAATCCAGGAGGAACCTCAACTGACTCCTTTCAATGCAAAATGTTCTCCTCCAGGCTTCCTCTGGATCTCTAAGCTCCCCTTCCTGTCCCTAAGGGTGAGCACCCGGCAAGGGAAACTCTCTTGAATGCTTTTACCTCTGATTTCATTTTTTGGTAACTACCCAAAGTTCATGATCATAGATGGGAGTAGTAATGTAGATTGACCAGTAAATCGAGAACAGAGCTCAGAGAACCCAACATACTTTCACTGCTGCGACTTTATACTATTTTCCAGCAGAGTACAGTTGCTGGCACTCATTTCCCCCACCCTGTGCCAAAGAACCATCTCAATTCTGACCTGGGCTTTGATGCATTCTGTCAATGTGTCCGTTCTGTCCACAACCATGGTGGGGCCCGACACCCACTGAGAAAGCCTTTGACCTTCTGATGATGTTACAAACATAGCTCTCTGTCCGAATATCCAAGGCCTGAAAGGCCCATTTCCATACTCCCACAAAACCCACTACCAGACAACCCAGGGGATATAATCATAAGCCCAAAAGACCACACCACACATGTAGACTGGATGGGAAAACTTCTGTGACTCCTCCAGCTCCATTCTGCTGTTCCATAACCAAATAAGGGAACTTAATTTTTAGTATGCATACATACTTTTAGTATAGGATTATACAGCAAATGATTAAACTAATTATTTGCATAACTGGTCATTTAGTGGAAATGTGAGAAACTCACCCATCATGTAGTCTGGCCTCAATGGAACTCTTTGGACCATCTCTCCTCAAGGGGAAGAAGTAGTGATGGCTTTGCCTGGGAGAGGAGCCCATGTGTGGCGCAGAAGACTGGGGAAGACGGCCTGCATCCCCCTCTTCTTTGCAAATAGAGACTGCTGCAATATTTTCTGGATGCAGTAGGGAAAGAAAGCATAGGCCTTTGATCTGTAGTAAATACATGCAACAAAATATGCACTGCAGATACTCTCCTACACAGGGAGACAGGTAGAGAATGATCTTAAAATCCTTATTCAGTTAATTCATTCATTAAGAAAACAGACATAACATCAAGCAAAAACGCAAAAATCCCTGTGTCTCTGATGCTCTGTTGCATACTTTATATTACAGCTAACATTTGTGCACACTGGAAAACAATACAAAGGAAACATGCCTAAAAATCACAACACACATAAAATGATTGACATGTAGAATAATGATGTCGACACTGAAGTTCATACCGTGTTGTCGTCTGGAAGCTGTTTGGGAAACTTGACGCAGCACTGATGGTCTCTGTTGCTTCTGCTTAGTGCCCACAATACTGCTCCAATACTGGGAGGAATAAAAGACACTGTCAACTACAGTCATTGGGTATCATGCAATAAAATGATTTGTCAGTTTATCCTTAACTTCTCTTACTTATTGTGTACAAGTGTTCCAAGTTCATTCACCTAACTCTCCTAACTACATTCAACTATTGATACTATTGACATATACTATCGATCGATCATATTCCTTAAAAAGTTGATTTGTGTTGAAAACACATTAAATTCCACTGGCATTCTAAATAATGAGTACTTGAGCACAATGAGATTTTGAACCCTTCTTATACCCCCACCTTCAACCCCGGAGATACCCAGGTTACCTGACTTCCTGAGGCAGGCGGTGACACTGCATCCCTGGCCTGAGGAGGAGGAGGAGGAGAAAGAGGAGGCGGAGGAGGAGGGCGTAACTCTTCCAGCTGTTTGATCTTGTCACGTTGTGGTTGAGCTTTGTGCTGTCCACATCTCGTACTCTCGCTGGACATCTCTGCAGTGACGGGAGAGACATTAACCTTTCACTAGGGACTTTAAGGTTGTGTCCCAAAGTTTCTCATTAATTTATTATTTATGGAAGTAAAAACACACACAAATTCCAAGCTCACACATGAGTAATGTTTACTGCTGAAATGTAAAATATCAGAGTTAGCATAACAAATATTTAGATATACCTTTCATGTCCCTACAGTGAAACACTGACAAGCTTTAAGTCTCTAAAAAACAACTAACGTTACAGTGAACAAACATTCATACTGGTATTCATTTGTTGTGTGACATAATGTTTCATTCATATCATGTTTCCTTTTTCTTATTTCTTTTTAGAAAGTCTTTCTCTCTTTTATTAATTTGTTCTACAAAATGCGTAATTTTTTCCCCCCACACCTGATAACTGAATACAGTAAATATGTGAAATAGTTTCTTGATTAATAAATAAATGCCCATTAATAACTTAACCTAATAGTCTGCAGTTATGTGTTAGGGTTTTACTCATCCAGTCTGTAATGAGTTGTAGGTGTTGATATGACATGTTTTCTGCAGCTCTTTAGAAATAAGTCATCAGTTTTTTCGCAACTCAGCCACCCAATGGTTGTTCTTTTTACTGGTTTGTAACTGCTATATAAAACACTAGTAAGGGTTTTATATAACCAATAATAAAGGCATTAGTTACAACTTATAAGCCTTCAAAAAAGGAGCCTTATTAGAAAGTGGTAGCCTGCTGTTTGCAGGCAGCTGCTGGCCTAGTAATAAAGGTTTAGAAGGTTTTAAACTTGTACTTCTGCACATTTATCTATACAGGATTTTTTTTTCCTGTGCTCTTCTAAGCTCAAGAATAAAGAAGAAAATTGGAATTTCCCCATTGTGGGACTATTAAAGAAATATCTTATCTTATCTTATCTTAAGAAAGCAACTACTAAAAATCAGCAACAGGAAGATCTTGAAAAGCAAAGATTGTGAAAACTCCTCTCAACAGAAGAACCCTCAGGTGATGTTACTAAGCTGACCCCCCAAACTGCAATGTAATTATTCAAGAGATCGTATTACTGTAAAGGATTGTTTTGTGCTTTAAGTAGTTTTGGGTGACAGGTGAATAGGAAAAAGAATCATATGGGTAAATACCAAACTCCTACACACCATCTGCACTCAGATGGAAGATTTTTATGATGTTTCACAGTCTGTCAGACTGAATCAGGTCCAGAAGAAAACACTTACACCACTGTAACTGATATTCTGTAATGTTCAGTTTCTATACTTATGCTTAGTACTTTCATAAATCATTGATGTGAACAATTAAGCACTTAATTAAGTACTGTACCTAAGTGGAATTTAGAGGTGTTTGTACTAGTGTTTCCATTTTATGCATGTTATAACTAACTTAACAAATGTTATTGTCTTCTCAACATAGATTCGCCTAGCACATAGTATATTTAAGTACAGGAAAGGAGGAAGTTGGTCAAGGTTTAAACTGAGGCTTGCTCATCTGTTATTGGAGCACAGAGCAGAAAAAGGTGGGACTTAGGATGAGTCATGTTTGTTACATACAAACATATCATATAAGTTCCGAACCCTGCAGGTGTCATGGAGCAAAAATGAGTAATTTATATGCATTCATTTAATAAATTTGCTCTCAAATAATAATTTGTGTTGATGAATTACTAATTTATGCTCTTGCATTATTGCACTCTCAAATGACTGACATGCTCATTAAATACTTAGACTGTGTTCAGAAATGACAAACTGATGATGCTTGGTGCTCAAATGCAGTCAAAGAGGATTTCATTTTATGTGAAGATGAAACCATATTATCATCACTATCTGGTTGCTGCTGTTTACATTCAACCAGACATTTTAGAACTATTTCTTGGCTGTATACATGTATGTATATATGTATAGAAATAACTGCATATAATTGTCTTTGTGTGTAGCAAGAAGGAAGTTCAAACTTTCATAAATTTCACCATAAACTATCATTGCAGTCAGCTTCTCCCTGTTAGGATTCCTGCAGTGTTCATTGTTCAGGAGGTTTCGACTGGGAGCCCAGTTATCCACAGAGGTCTCCTCCTCTCCAAAACAAACAGACCCACTGATTAAAACCACTAAAAACACTGAATAAAGCAGTTCCACCTTAAAGAAAAAACAAATGACTGTTTCTCCCATGCAGTTGGGAAGACAAAGGACGTCCAGACAAAGGACTTCCCGGAAAGGCTGCAAACCGAGCTGTTAACGTTAGCTCAGCTTGTTTCTCTGATAACTTAAGATCCAGACGTCACGTCCAATGACTAAAATCCTTCAAACATTTAAAATTAAATCAAATGAAATTAAAAATTAAAAAGCAGCAAGATCTAAACAGTGGTTGGTAAAAAATGTGGCTTCAAACTGGATAAAAAGTCATAAAAAACCAGCCAGTTTGAACAGTTTCTGGCAGACAACCACAACACTGATGCATGCACAAAGGGGATATAACGTTTATTTATTATATATAAGTTTGAACATTGTTGGAAACATTTAGGATAATGGAAGAATACAGCTAAACTACATATAGAACATAGAGCTACTGTTTTTAGAAGGTCTCCTGAGGGAATGTTAAGTATTAAAGCTTTAAATGTCAATGATTGTTTCACTTTATGTTCTCTCACTTTTTGCACAAACTATTTGAGAGCACAAAATTAGTAATTATATAGAAATGCTGTATTCATTAATTTGTTTGCACATCTTTATTTATTCTTACACATTAACTAAATAATGAATTAACTAATTAATTTGAGGACCTCAATAAGGTAAGTCAAGAGTTATGTCAATTGTTAATTTGTACCAATTAATTATTTATTTGAGAGCATGAATTAACTAAATCCAGAGATTGATATATCCATTTCTGCTCACAAATAATGTTATTTTTCTCAATGAATTTATTGTCTTTCATTAATTTCTTTTTTTCAATATTAGAAAACTCAATGTCTACACATCATTTTTTTGCTCCTACATATAGCTGAAGCCCTCCAGACATGGGGAATAAGTTAGAACATATCAGAGCTTTGCGGTTATCTGAAAATAATGCACACTCTGCAGCCAATCAGCATCCAGCATTCACTGTTTTTAGTGGTTCAAAACATTTCCTGTACCAGACCTTCTGACAGGGAGGCTGTGTTGTTCACAGGTGCACTGACACACACACTGATAGCATCACCACACAGTCTACACAGTGAGTGGGAGATGAAACTGCTCTACTTTTGTGCAGCACGGTGATATGTCACCTGAAACCACTGGGACTTGTGTTTGTCGAAGATGCCTGGATAATATCTTTCCTGGAGTAGAGCTTCATTATATGATACTCAGATTCTTCCAAGACGCCATATGCTCCATCTTTGGAGTATCAAGCACTCTCATGCTTTGTACATTTAAAAGTTTGTTGTCCTTCACAAAGACAAGACTGTGGTCAGTTACATTGTATTCCAATGGCGAATTCATGGTTGATAAAAAGCATCAAAACATTTATTTAAACTTTTCATACAACTTCACTACTGTCCATATGTTCCAAACATGCATTGCCCTTCAGTGGAAGCAGTATATTCAGCTGCATTTTGCTGAAAGGATGACTGTTTGGAACATATGGATAGTAGTGAAGTTGTATGAGAAGTTTCAATAAATGTTTTCTCCATTGACAGAGGGAGAAGAAGTAGTAGAGATCAAAATTTCACCATTCAAATAGTATGTACAATATTACTATTAAAGGTGCATTAGGTAATTTTTATACAAAATAACTTTTTGTCATATTTGCTGAAATTTTTACCTCCTGACAGTAGTACATGAAACAGAAAAATGTGAAAAAAATCTGATTCATTTGACTCGTTCTAGCACTCCTAATGGCATTTGCAAGAATACACCGGGCCTGAACGGAAACAACCACCCAGAGCAGAGAAAGATATAAAGATGCAGGCTCGAAGATAGTTGATTGTTGTATCTCATTCCCAAGGGCCCCAAAACCTCTGTATTTGATGCCCCGGGAACAATTAAGACTCAACAATCAACTATTATTCTTGGTTCTGATTGGTTGTTCTCATTCAGCCCAATGGATTATTGCAAATACTATTAGGAGCACTAGGAGGAGCCAGAGGAACCAGATTTTTTTCACAGATTATCTGTCTCATATACTACTGTCAGGATACAGTGAAAGAAAATGTGACAAAAAACCCTACCTGTGGGAGCTTTAAAGGTCCAGTGTTTAGGATTTAGTGGCGTGTAGCAGTGTAGTTGCTGACTGTAATGTGTCTCATTCCCAGGGCATCAAATACTGACGCTGGGCATGAGACTCAAGAACCAACTGTCTTTCTTGGCTCTGATTGGTTGTTGTTCAGGATTCTTGCAAATGCCCTTTTTTTTACTGTAAATAGTTTTTTTCAGTTATCTGTACTTTACTTGAGTATTTATTTTTTTGCATCATTGCACGCCTTCCAAACAACAAATCCAGTGCATGTCATGCATGACAGACGTAACATGATATAAACAACATAAAAGACGAAAACAAGATGAAACAGACAAGAGAGAGACTCGACCCTGTTCAAAGTTTCAGTTTGCTTTGCACAGAAACAGACGGTAAAAATGCACTTTAGAGAAAACAAAGAAAGTACTTCAATGTATGCCCACAGAGCCTTATATGAAAGCTGATGACATAAAGCAAGTAATAATTCCTGCCATTGTGTAAATAACGTATTATGTAAAGAGTGGGGCCCTTTCTTTCAGCTATCTCACTGTCACATCAGAGATTTGTAGGGAAGCGTGCACCTATACAATAAACCTGACAGCCAATACCATATGTGCATTTATGCAAATGTACTCCCACAGAAACAGGAATTCAGTAGAAAGTGAGAGCACTAAAAAATGTTTGTGGCTTCTCACTGTCATCTCTCATTTTGGCTTTCCTTCTCGACTCTATCTTCCCTAGAAGAAGAAGCTCATCAAAGTCCCTTCGTCTGTTTTCTTAAGTGAGGAGAGCTT